CCCTGCTTGTATGAATGAGCATCCTTGATGATTTTTTGCCTTCACAAAGATGATTCCCAAATTTAGGTGTGCCATATTTTTGGTAGAACCTTTTCTGTTCTCCTGGGCAACTTTCCTCATTATAATAACAACAATAATCATATTGGGTGCTTACTAATTATAGGGACTGTACAAAGTCCTTAATAGCCATGATTTCATTTAATACTCTTAAAATCCCTGTAAGGGATTATCTGTCTGTTTTCCAAATGAAAATAACAAGGCTTAGAAAACTAAAAAATATATTCAAGGCTAAACAGTAAATACTATTTACAGAATATTCATTCATCAGTCTGTACTCTGGTAGATTAAAATTAAAAGCATGAGCTATTTTTTATTTAAAAAAATTTATTTAAGTAATGTCTACACTCAGCCTGGGGTTCAAACTCACAACCCTGAGACCAAGAGTCACACGCTTTTCCGGCTGAGCCACCCAGGCACCCCAAGAGTTACGGCTTTCTAATTGTTGAGTCTTCATATAACGTTTGGCTTCTAGTAGGCATTTGATAAATGTTTATTTGATACCTGTGAACTCTTTCTTGGCCATCCAGACTTCTGGTTCTGATTTCTCCTCATGTGAAACAAACTAAAGTGGAAGAGTTAGTGGTGAGAATGAATCAGAAAGGAAAGAAGGTAAGGCAAATCCTAGAGCCAGAGGAGGAAAGAGGAGTGTGGCCGTAGTGGTGTTTCAGGAAGGAGATCTTCATTTTTTGGCCAAAGGTTGACTCCGTAAGAAAGGTACAAGTTAATCTGGCTGGGACCACGATTCTGTTAACCTAAGCTGACACTCACTGGAGGTTCACATTAAATTTGAGCTTTCCTTCCGGGCCCTCCATCTTTACATATTGCTAAATCTTTAAGTAAGTTAAATGCAAATACTACCTATCTGAGCCATCACTCCTGAAACCGTTAAGGATTAGCCCCAGTGAGTGATTTTTATGCCCCTTGTGTTGAGTTTGGAAGGAAATGGCACGAACTCTCTCCCCTCTTTCCCTTTCTCCTTTTTCCCTCACTGGGTTTTGGGAAGGCCTATACTGTTCTTTGTGGCTGCTCTTCTTGATTCTCCTGTTTTCCCCATAAACCACATTCCCTAATTCTGCTGAGTCTCGTGTAACCAAGCACCCCAGACGTGGCAATGTTTGACTCAAGAAGGGCTGTTAGCAGGCCTTGGAAACTGGTTCCCTGTGGCATTTCACAGTGTTGATCCTGGGTCTCTGCTTTGTACTTTATGCACTGGAGGGTCTTTGCAGAACTGTAGAGTTTTAGGACTTGTGCTACTTATGCTAAGGTACATTATTTGTGCATTTAACTACATTTAACATGTTGGTCTTAAACTCTGATTTTTTTTTTATTACTCTGAATTTTTAATTTTGTTAATTGTATAGCTGTTCTCTGTTTTCTTTTTTAGCTGATAATTCTTATTGCCTGATAGTGCTCATTTTAACATTATTTGAGGGCTCTGGTCCCCTGGGTCCATGACATCAAATTTCTAACAAATTGATGCATAAACATGAGCCATGTTGTTCCAGGGTCTCTGGATTAACAAACCAAAATAATGTGACTAGATTTTGAGGTTGAAGTCCTATTTCCCAGGGCTTAAGAGGAGAGCATGGCCCGCTGCTCAGCTTGGCCCCCAACCTGGCATTTTAATTTTAATAAATGAGATTCTTTGAAGAGCATAAAGAGTTGATCACATGTGAACAAACGTTTAATGGGTGCATAAAACATTAATGCACCCATTAATGTTTTTTTCCACTAAAGTGGTTTCCAAAATTACCCTGGCTCTTGTACTTTTTGTGTGTGGATAGAGAGGACTCCTGTGCACCTGATGTACTTGATTTGCCAGCCTAATGGTTTGCCTTTTCCTGACCTCATGGAAACTAACAGGGGAAGGAGCCCAGCCCTGGAGATGGTTGCTCCAGTGACTTGGATGATTTCCAGATGAGCACCAGGAGACCTGGGCTGTTACCGTGCTGAGTGGGTTGTACAAGGGCTGGGTGTGCTCTTCCCTCATTGTCTCAGGACATGCACACTGCTTCTCATCAACCAGAAAAGGTTAATTTGGGGTTTAAAATTTAAGCAGCTCCTTTTTTTAAGGATGAAGAAGGGAAAATGAAGAATCGATTTTAGGACTAAAAATAAATAACCGTTCCAGAGAAATATTCATGAACTGTTGATTGATTGTTTGCACAGTGGAAAAAAGATTAATCTCTCCACACATACTCATAACCCTCATCAAAATCCGCTTTCGGTGAGAGCGGACCGTATCCGTGTCTGGCTCCCTGAGAATGTGAGCTACTTGGGGCAAACTCTCTCTCATCCAGCCTTCTTTTTCTGTATCTCCTAATTCCTGGCACAATGCCCCACACTCAGGAGGCTTTCCTAAAGATACTCTTCTGATTGAGTAGAGACAGAATGAAGAAATACATTTGAAGAACTTGACTGCAGAGAGCCAAATGAATTCCATTTGTACCCATTCAGAAGTAGTATTTGTAAGATGGCACATAGGATTCAGTTGCCTAATGAGCTCAGCAATATGTTAGGAGGAAAGAAAGATGAACACAGATTCAAATTAAGTTGCTCTTAATCTGAACAGAAATTTTCGAATCTTAGAATTTCAGTGCTTAATGTTGGAAATCATTTGAGTAATGAAGTCCAAATGTATTTCTGTGTTTTCTGTAGTTATTTTATAAAATGTTTGAAAATATTTCAGTTTTAGAATTTAAGGAGACAGACTTACCTGCTGTGACAAAAGCACATGTGATAAAAATATCAGCAAGTCCTTGGTTTAGCTTTGAGTAACACTAGACATGCTACTTAACACCTTGGTACCACCATTTATAGAATGGGAAGAACATTGATATATAAGATACCATTTTCTATAGTATAATCGAATATTAGTCTTCCTACTTCCTACCTATAAAGTATAGAAATGTCCTAAGTTGTATAAATTTTTTTCTTCTTGTGGTTTTAATTTTGTCAAAATGAATAGAAACAGAAATAAAAATTTTAGGACATCCTTTTAATGCACTTTAATATTAAATAATAGAATACATCAGTTTTTAAAATGTGCAGACTCAGATTATTTTGGAGATTTTAATAAACTTCACATTTTATTTTTGAATTTTTGATTTTTATTTTTAAAGTTTATTTACTTTAAGTAATCTCTATGTGCTACTTATGCTAAGGTACACGAACTCAAAACCCTGAGATCAAGAGTTGCATGCTCCCCCAACTAAACCAGCCAGGCACCCTTATTTTTGGATTTTTAAATGTTTAAATTCACTCTAGAATTATTTTTATCTTTTTTTATTCTAAATTTTTTCCACATTGGATATAACTTTCAAGGATGATTTTTCCCTTATGAAGTATTGGATGTGTTTGTATGTTTATTATTATTTAGAGAAATATAATATAGAAATATATTCAGTTTAGAAATATAACTACCATATAATCCAGCAGTCCCACTTCTGGGTATATATCAAAAGGTAATGAAATCAGTATCTTGAAGAGATAACTGTTATACACCTCCATGTTCGTTGCAGCATTATTCACAATAGCCAAGATATAAAAACAACCTAAATGTCTGCTGATGGGTGAGTGGACAAAGAAAATATGGCCTATATACACAATGGAATATTAGTCAGCCTTAAAAAGGAAGGAAATCCTCCCATTTGCACAACATGAATGAGCCTAGAGGATGTTATGCTAAGTGAAATAAGACAGATACAGAAAAGAGTTACTGCATGATTTCACGAATGTATGGAATCCAAAATAGTTGAACCCATAGAAGCAGAGAGTAGAATGGTGGTTGCCAGGGGCTCAGGGGTGGGGGATATGGGGAGATGCTGCTCAGGGGTACAAAGTTGCACATATGCAAGATGAATTAAGTTCTGGAGATCTGATGTACAGCATGGTGATGATACTTATCAATACTGTATTATATACTTGAGATTTACTAAGATCTTGTTTTCAACACACATACCTACACAAAAATGGTAACTATGTGAGATGATAGAATATGTTTATTAGCTTGATTGTAGAAATCACTTCGCGATGTATACATATGTCAAACATCAACTCATATACCTTAAATATATACAACTTCTGTTCATCAACTGTACCTCAGCAAAGCTGGGGAGAAAAAAAAATACATTATTTCTCAGTAGTATTTATTTTTGTCCCAAGCAAGTACTCTATAATTAAATGTTATCATAAATATTTATATTTAAATGTATTTATATCATTAAACTCGAATATGTTCTAAAACATGTCATTTAAAATGTATAACCATTTATATCCTCAAAAACCTGAAAAAGTTTTTGTTTCTGTATGTATGGGATGGACTTTGGATTTCATATTGTGACAGTTAATGAGCACCAGTAGAGGGAGCTCCAACTCCTCTTTCTTGGTGAATTTAGCAGTCAACCTGAAAATAGTTAATGGAAAGGGCACACATAGAAATAAACTTAAATTACACATGGTTATAAAACTTTTTAAAGGTACGAAAGGGTGACAATTATAATTATCTTTACGTTTGAGGGAGAAAATAAGCTCGCTTTGATTTCCATGCTTTTGAAGGTAGCTAACCCTCCAATAACTAAACAAAAAACTTCTATGTAGTGTAACCTCTTACAAGTGATCCATCAGGCAACCCCCAAGGCTTTTAGGATCAAGAATCTATCTCTGGTCGGTTGAGGAGGAGGACGAAGAGTAGTAGAGTTAATGTTATTGTTTGAAGAGAGGTTAAGTAAAATTGTAAATAACTGGTAGATAGTCACAGTAGCAAAGTCACACAGAGGTGAATTGCTGAGTCACTATGTAGGATAGGAGAGGAAAAAACATCTCATTTTACATAAAACTGTTAGGCATCCAAAAGATTTTTAAACCAAAATCTGCAAAGGCTCTGGAGGGCTGATATCTAGAGGGCAGGACCAAATTATTACCTGTCAGTTTCTTTATAGACCCCAGAAGAAAGTATCACGTGAGGCTGCTGGCTTACAACAACGTAGAAGATGGCTATCAGGCGGATCAGACTGTCAGCACTCCGGGATGCGTGTGTAAGTAAGAGTTAGGGTAGCACGTTTCACTCTGTGTGGCTCACGGTCCTTGTTCTCCTCTTCCTTCTGTAAATTTAAGTCTCATCACTACTTGGAATTGTTGGTGGTTTTCTATCTTCCGTGGCACCTAACATAGTTATTTTGAACAAGTACGTGCTCAAACTAAATATTTAAGTGAGATGTATTTAATTATAAGAACTTATTTTACTTTGGGGCGCCTGGGTGGTTCAGTTGGTTAAGCGACTGCCTTCAGCTCAGGTCATGATCCCAGGGTCCTGGGATCGAGTCCCGCATCGGGCTCCCTGCTCTGCGGGGAGCCTGCTTCTCCCTCTCCCACTCCCCCTGCTTGTGTTCCCTCTCTCGCTGTGTCTCTCTCTGTCAAATAAATAAATAAAATCTTAAAAAAAAAAAGAACTTATTTTACTTTTGCAAGCAAAAGACCTTTAGTAATTTAACTGGGAAAAATAACCCTGAATACCTATCTGCTCTAATCTTGAGGCTGTTTATTTCCTTCCAATTACAATGTTCAGTTTTACTGCTGCTAAGACCTGTTTGGTTTTATTGCCACTGAAGAGAGGGTGTCCGTTTAGTTTTAAGTCCATTGCTGGCCTTCTGAATGTCTTTGGCTAGTAGTTTGTCTTCTTGGTGCTTCTGTTTTAATATTTGATTCCTTATCTAACTCATGGAAGAGTTGCTCATAATTGAACCTCTTTAATGAAAGAAAGACCTAAAGTCAACTTAATAGGGTGGGGAATTGTGATTTTATCATTTTACCACTTTCTGCAGTAATATGCTGTACAGTAAATTAACATTGTCTTTTTTGATAGCTGTCCGTGATCGCATGGTTCCTCCACCACCACCACCCCACCATCTCTATGCGAAGGCTAACTCTTCATCTTCCATCTTCCTGCACTGGAGGAGGCCTGCGTTCACCACTGCACAAATAATTAACTACACCATCCGCTGTAACCCTGTTGGCCTGCAGAATGCTTCTTTGGTCCTGTACCTTCAAACGTATGTAGCTTCTATTAATGGTGGTTTTCTTTGCTCTTCTCCCTCTTCCCACTTATTTCTTACCATCTTGGGCCAGGTTGACCTTTAGCTGTAAGCACCTGTCTCAGGACTTATCTTACATATAAAATGGCTGGGAGTTTTATATCTTTACCATATTCAGTTCTGAAAACTGCATCTTCTGACATTTAGTTTCTATAAATGAATTTTTTGTTTGTTTCCTCAGCCTCATGCAACAAGATTAGGCAAGAAGATATTATTACTTTCAAGTGGCTACCCTTAGCATGTTTAAAGGAAAAAACAAAAGACCACTTTCATGCTGGCATCAAAAAATAAAGCTTATTTTGTCTTCTTGGTTATAGTTAGAAAAATGCCCATGATTATGGTTTAAAAGAATGATTCGACTTCCAGTATTTCAGAGGAAATCCCTTTGTATTGGGATATTTCTATACTGCCAATTTCATAGTTTCCTCTCAGGGCAATTTGTAGGCTAATTTCTATAGGATAATACCAAATGTAGTATTTTAATAGAGGAGATTGCTTTTTTAGTCTAAAAAAATTGGTTTTAAAGAAAATGAGATAATAGTAACAGTATGCTTACCTATATTGACTGGAAATACTGATAATCTTTTAGAAGCAAAGTACTACCAGCATTAACAACTTCACTACTCATTTTATAGATCAGAAACTCACATGTTGGTTCAAGGTCTAGAACCAAACACCAAATATGAATTTGCTGTACGACTGCATGTGGATCAGCTTTCTAGCCCCTGGAGCCCCGTTGTCTACCATTCGACCCTTCCAGAAGGTACAGACATTTATCTAAATGTTTAAGAAATAGATATATCACTTTAGGAACACCTGGGTGGCTCAGTTGGTTGAGCGTCTACCTTCAGCTCAGGTCATGATCTCAGGGTCCTGGGATCGAGCCCCGTGTCAGGCTCTCTGTTCAGCGGGGAGCCTGCTTCTCCCTCTGCCCTCTGCCTGCTTGTGTTCTCTCTTTCTCTCTCTCTCTCAAATAAATAAAATCTTAAAATAGGTCTTTAAAGAAGATACTACCCGGTTACCACCCTGGTTAACATGTATGCATTTGTTTTGTTTCTTAACTTTTGAAATGTATTTTGTTTTATTATAGTAAATGTTTTTTCCTCTCACTGTATATATTACACAAGCCAGTGGGCTTAAATTTAATGTCTCTTTGGGGAAACACTACATTTTCTAAAATCAGGTGTACTCTTCAAGACTGTACCCAAATAATTTAAAATGGAAGTAAGTGAATAGTGTACTTAATGATGTTGGGAGCCCATGTTAGAAGTAATGTGTGTGGTGGCCTGATCCTGTGCACAGTGCGGTGGTTTGGATATCTGATCGAACACCATTTCTGGAGCTTACCTCTGTCTCTCGCTAAGGTATTTCATGTCTGTGGACCTGCATTTCCTTTTCTCTAGAATGAGGGTGAGGGGGTAAATGATCTATATAAGGACCATCACAACTATTCTTTTTTTTTTTTTTATTCTTATGTTAATCCCCATACATTACATCATTAGTTTTAGATGTAGTGTTCCATGATTCATTGTTTGTGCATAACACCCAGTGCTCCATGCAGAATGTGCCCTCCTCAATACCCATCACCAGGCTAACCCATCCTCCCACCCCCTCCCCTCTAGAACCCTGTTTGTTTTTCAGAGTCCATCGTCTCTCATGGTTCGCCTACCCCTCCGATTTCCCCCGCTTCATTCTTCCCCTCCCGCTACCTTCTTCTTCTTCTTTTTTTTTTCTTAACATATATTGCATTATTTGTTTCAGAGGTACAGATCTGAGATTCAACAGTCTTGCACAATTCACAGCGCTTACCAGAGCACATACCCTCCCCAGTGTCTATCACCCAGTCACCCCATCCCTCCCACCCCACCCCCCACTCCAACAACACTCAGTTTGTTTCCTGCATCACAACTATTCTAATTATGCTGAGAGAAAGCAAAGCAAAGACATGAACTTCAGCGAGCATAGGGCCTGTTGGGTGTGGTTTTGGCTATAATCCATATAGGATGTGATGCCAAAAACCAGCTCTTCACACTTTTAGCTCGTACTAAACATGTGGTCAACTAAAATCCCAAGCCTTGACTACTTTTGCAGATATAAAGTATTAGTCTAAGGTCTGCCCTGTAAACTCACTGATTCACAACTTTTTGGAGAATAACTAAATGTTTTGGTCTCAGAAGTATTATCTTCAGTGGTTTCCTAGATCAGGTGAAATATATATTCTGTACGTTTTAGTAAGAAATGTAGTTTAGATTCAATACCTAATGGGGTGAGACTCAATACCTAATGGGCAGGTGCTGCTGGTGGAATTGTAAACCTTTCTAGTTATCAGTTTGGCAAAACAATATCAAAAGCCCTAAAAATTCTTATGCCCTTTGATTCTCCATCTAGGAATCTACCATCTCCTTTTTTTCTTTCTTTTTTTTTTTTTTGATGTTTTAAACATTATAAAAATGAAATTAGCTCTCAGAAAAAGAAGAAAAAAATAGTGTTTTTTTACTTTTTTTTTATTTATTTGACAGAGAGAAACATAGCGAGAGAGGGAACACAAACAGGGGGAGTAGGAGAGGGAGAAGCAGGCTCCCTGCAGAGCAGGGAGCCCAACGCGGGGCTCGATCCCAGGACCCTGGGACCATGACCTGAGCCGAAGGCAGACGCCCAACGACTGAGCCACCCAGGCGCCCCAGTGTTTTTTACTCTTATCATTAATGATCTGTAAAAGCTGTGATTCTGAGATGTTTTTATAGTGGTTTCTAGTTTTTCACACTCTTTTCCCTGAGTTTTCAGTCTGTTAGCCAGGTATTTGAGTGTTTATCACCATTTAATCCTGGTAATACAGTATTTTCTCCATGTGTGCACAGCACCGGCAGGCCCACCGGTTGGAGTAAAGGTGACATTGATAGAAGATGACACTGCTCTGGTTTCTTGGAAACCTCCTGATGGTCCAGAGACCGTGGTGACGCGCTATACCATCTTGTACGCGTCCAGGAAGGCCTGGATTGCAGGAGAGTGGCAGGTCCTACACCGAGAAGGTAAATATGAGCATAAATTATCAAAGAGGATGAAAAGTAAGATTATCGATGGTAAGGAAACAAACAGAAAGAAGGATCTCGAGTTTGTTTTGAATTTATATTTATGAAGTAACAGATGATAAAGGATTTGGGTTTTATTCACAGAGCATTGGGAAATCATCAGCATATTTTAAGCATGAGCATATGATTCACATTCCAGAAAGATCACTCTTGACTATTGTGACTAGAACGGGTTTGGTGCAGGAGGGATGGGTCAGAATAATGTAGAGACTAGGAGGTGACTACAGTGGTCCAGACTATAAGCCTGGATTAGGATACCGAGGATTGAGATGGAAAGGAGAGGATGGTCAAATGACAGTAGCTTAAGTAGAGAAAGAATGGGGCAAGGAAGGAAGAATTGTTATAGATGACTACCAGATTTCCAGTGGTGGTGTGTCTTGCGCTGGAGTAGCAAACACTGGAAGAAGATCTGGTTTAAGGGAGCAGACTTTTGTACTAAAATGGTCCACATACAAATAAATTGGCCCATATGAATATCAGGGTCCCACTTAAGTACTTAATTCAGACATGCATGCTGGGAAAAGAACAGTTTGCTAAGCAATTAAAAGCTTCAGAAGGATTTCAAGAAGGAAATTTGTTGGCCATCTACATATTCTAAACACTTTTACAGTACTAGGCATTTGCACATACATTTTACCTTTTAAAGGGAACATTTACCTAATTAGGATGAACTTTAAAGACCTGTGGATTTAAGATAAAACTCTCTATGCAATTGTAAAGCAAACAAATGGTGACTTTAGTTGGAATTTTAATAGTCGTATATTCATGTTTTCATTATGCCAAAGCCCCACTAAGTAATATTTTCCTAGTCACTGAAGAGACTTGAAAGTAGTAAGTACTTGCTGGCAATACAGTTTTATATTTGCATCAGTTATCTATTGCTACCTAACAGACCACTTTAAAAATTAGCCATCCTAGTTTCTCACAGTTCTGTGAGTCAGCAGTTTGGACTGGGATCAGTGGGGCACTTCTTCTCTTGGTCTCTCCTGAGGTCACTCATGAGACTGAAATCATCTCATGGTTTCAACAGAGTGTGAGTAGCTCAAAAACAGCAAGAGAGAGTTCCAGCATCAGGAAGAGAGTGAGGAAGCTGCACGTACAAAGCTTTGCAAGCCTCTGTTTGTATCACATTCGCTAACGTCCCACTGGGCAAAGCAGAGCAGGTAGGCAAGCCCAGACTTAGTGCGGGACCGGACTGCCCACGGGTGTGGACTGATGGAGGTACAATTTATTTGGGGCTGTTAGTCTTATAAACTACCACAATATTCTTTTTTTTTTTTTTAAAAGATTTATTTATTTATTTGAGAGAGCGAGAATGAGAGAGAGAGTGAGCACATGAGAGGAGGAGGGTCAGAGGGAGAAGCAGACTCCCTGCCGAGCAGGGAGCCCGATGCAGGACTCAATCCCAGGACTCCAGGATCATGACCTGAGCCGAAGGCAGTCGCTTAACCAACTGAGCCACCCAGGCGCCCAACTACCACAATATTCTTAAAATGTACAGTTTACTTTTAGTTAATTCCAGAATGAATTATTGACACATTTGACCCTGACTAACCTGATTTATCACATGAGCACTTCTTCCCTTTAGCTCTTCATTTGTACCTGCCTAAAAAGAAACAGTATTTTGTTTCGGTTCCTTTTAACACATTCATTTGTCAGTTTCAGACAAGGCTCAGAAAACAACATTTTGCCTCATTGATTACCCAGTAGTGAAATGGGTTGTAATTGCAGGTTTTTACACCTATATAAGCTGTTCTAACTACATAATCATGCATGGGAGGGGGAAAAAAATCTATTTTTGCCATTATCCTACTTTTGTGATTTTAAGAAAAATTCTCAGCAAAAAGCTATACCATCTTGTACACGTCCTTTTTTATAGCTAATGCTAGTACTTCATAGAGGACACAATAAGCAATATAGGTAAAAAAGAGTTTATTTTTTTGAGTAAAAAACATAAAGGGGGGGCACCTGGGTGGCTCAGTCGTTAAGCGTCTGCCTTCGGCTCAGGTCATGATCCCAAGGTTCTGGGATCGAGCCCCGCATCGGGCTCCCTGCTCTGTGGGAAGCCTGCTTCTCCCTCTCCCACTCCCCTTGCTTGTGCTCCCTCTCTTGCTGTGTCTCTCTGTGTCAAATAAATAAATAAAATCTTAAAAAAAAAATAAAGGGTTTGAGTCACCCACTTTTATTTTTATTTATTTATTTATTAAGATTTTATGTCTAAGTAAGCTCTGTACCCAGTGTGGGGCTTGAACTCACAACCCCGAAATCAAAAGTCACGTGCCCCACCAACTGAGCCAGACAGGTGCCCCTTGAGTCACTCACTTTTAAACCAAAAGCAAAAAATACATCATGGCATTTAAATAAAAAAATAAAATATAAAATGGTCTTTAATGTCTGATTATGGCAACTTTTGGAAAAGGTGAAAGTGTAGAAAAAGATGAGGAAAGCAGAAGAGGGAGAATATCAGTATTTCTTTCCTATATATCTACTAATCTTCTATACATGTTTTGTTTATACATATTTATGTGTATAATTAATTCACATATTGCCAAGTGGAATAAGATAAAGCATTTTAAAAATGTTCCTGATGACCAGATAATATTTGTGGCTAAAAGTGTACACGGTCAAATGGTTGAGCAGAGATGTGATATGAAATCATACTTGTGTGTAATTTAAAGTGAATCAGAAATTAACAGCCTTCACCTTTCTGATATGCAGTAAATCAGCACAAACTAGTCAGTTCTTTTAAAATCTAAAAGGCACTATAGAAAGTCATGCCCTATAGTACAGCAGTTCCTGAACTCTGTTCCTCATAGCATGAATTTCCCACAATTGTAAAGACGCTCCTTCTTCAAAAAAAAAGTTACATGACTAAATAAATTTAACCTAAATAAATATGTCATTTCCTCCTATTAGAGATGCACATTGGAAATTAATTTTCTTCAATAAAGGAATTTAACTCAACATTTACCAAGTAAATCAGAATACCAATAGTAGGAACAAATTGATTTATTAAATGAATTATTGAGTGATTACTGTGTGGCAGGCTCTTTTCTAAGCGTTGGCAATACCACAGTGAACAAAACAATGTTCTTTCCCCTTTGAAGCTTATAGCTCAGTAACACCAAATATGTAGATATTTAGGTACTGTTATAAGTGGTATTAAAAAAGCTGCAAGCGGGGAGGCGGAAGAGACAGAATGATGGGGGTAGCAAGGTTAGGTCCTTTTGGAAGAAACATCTAAGCGGAGCCGTGTGAGTATTGGAGGAAGTGCAAAGGCCCTGAGACAGAAGTGTGCTTGGCATTAGAGGAACAACAAGAAGGCAGGGAGCCTAGAGTGAGGGGAAGAGCAGGCAGTAGGAAATCAATGGGGAGGAAACCAAGGGCAGATTTTGTAGACCACAGATTTTATTCTAAGAGAGATGAAAGACATCGAAGACTTGTGATCAGATTTACATTTTGAAAGGATTGCTTTGTCAACCACCTAAAAGACTGATTATAAGTTGGTAAATGTAGAAGCTGAGAGACCACTGAATATGCAGGTGTCCATGTGAGAGTTAGTGGGCATTTGGACAAGGGTGATAACGAGGAAGGTAATAAGAAGCTATTAGAACATAATTTGAAAGAACGGCCTATGAGGTTTGCTGCAGATTGATGAGGAGTGTAAGGAAAGAAAGAAGCAGAACTGACGGGGGAAATCAGAGGTTTGGTTTTTGTTTTTTTTTTTCAAAACCTTTTTTTTTTAATTATGTTGTATTAATCACCATACATTACATCATTAGTTTTCGATGTAGTGTTCCATGATTCATTGTTTGCGTATAACCCCCAGTGCTCCATTCAGTACATGCCCTCCTCAATACCCATCACCAGGCTGACCCATCCCCCATCCCCCTCCCCTCTAGAACCCTCAGTTTGTTTCTCAGAGTCCATAGTCTGTCATGGTTCGTTTCCCCCTCTGATTTCCCCCCTTCATTTTTCCCTTCCTGCTATCTTCTTCTTTTTTTTTTTTAATTTTTTTATTCTTATATTATCCCCATACA